CAACGTTAAATAGCATATATTTATAACAAACGCTGTTGTTTATACGCATGTAGGATTGATATCGTAATGTCAATAAATACTTTTATAAGGTTGTTACCTGATGGTCTTTCTTATTCCGATCTGACAACAACTGTAATAATCCCCGCGTCCATAGGTTGCAAATGAGAAGTGGTGTTTGGTGGCAAAAAATAAACTTTGACATTACTCAGTGAATCAATAATATCAATAAAATGGCATGATGCGTTATCGGTTAAAAGAATAATGTAACGCCCACTTTGCTGCATCATATTGTTAAAGTTTTTGAGGTAAATCTCAAATATCGACCGTTGCATCCAGGCATTTTTATTCCAAAAATAGTAAACAGGCAGAGACGTTTTGTCAATATGTTTCAGCGAGCGTGGAGTTTGCCATTTATTATTATTAATAATTAACGGTTTTAATTTATGACTTCCGGTAGCTTTAACGGTTAATAAGATTGTAATACGTTGCTTTGACTTTTTGATCCCAGAAGATGGACCAGTTGCAATAGATTTTGACGGCAGAAGTTGCCAATACAATGCAGTCTCATCACAATTGTAGATGTCTTCTAACTGGTAATTCTCGGTAAGTTCGTCACGGAATTGAGGAAAATCGTCAATCGGAGCGCTAGCAGCTACATCTACTCGCGAATTATCAGTGATCAAGTTGGTATTTTTGACCAATCAAACAATTCCGTAGTAAATAGCAAAATCTGGCTATTACTATATAAAGTGTAATCAGTGGCGTAATGCCGTTGCGCCATATTTTAGACTATATTTGGATGATTTGTGCTGTGAAACTTGTTACCCAATCATGAAGAAGGCGTATCACTCAAAAATCATGTGACTGCCCTTTTTTCGCCATCACTGACTCTTTACTATCTATAGCTCTATCCCTGACTAACAATCCCCTGCTGTACTACGCTTGCCATGTGTGGCTTAGTAAAAATACCGTCACCATCTTTGCGCGTAAAAATTTTTTTCCACGTATCTACACTTTCGCACCTATACCTGAAATAAAACCTTTTTTCTTTGCTTCATGAATAAGGAAATGAACGCAATGGACTACTTTAAGCAAACTGATCCGCAGTGCTGGTCGCTTTTGGGATATCTTCTCAGATTTAACAAATAATAAAACGTATGAACATAGCGTTTTTATCGATATAATCAGAAAGATTTCTCATCAAGATGGAACAGAGGGAGACATGGCGAGGCTGATATTAAAAGATTGGTACACACTAGTGGGACCACGAAGTTGCACAGTGATGACCAAGAGTCGGTAGTGACTTATCAACAGTTCGAAGATAGTGTGGCACTACTGACCATGTGTTGTAGGGTGTTTCTGACCATGAGTCAAACGCTACTTTTCAATAGTACTCAAACATTTAACCAATAATTCTTCATTCCAAGGATGAAAGAAATTATGATAATTCGGATACACCGAGGAAGAGAAAACCGCAGCAAATAGAGTCTTCAGATGTGAATACATTTCGTCGTTACAGCAACATTATTCGAGTCATATAAATATGAAAATTGACATGACTCTTGTTATTTAATAATAATAGTTGGATTATATACACATGCGGGATCAACAACTGGAAAAAGAGATTAAGCTCATTCAAGATAATAGAGTTGCAGACTGATAATGATGGAGTAAGTTGACATTAGTATTAGATTGATTTTTATGTAATTTTTTTCCTTACTGAGTAATTGCTATTCATCAGTTAATGACACTGCCTCCAAGACCATATGATATGACCATACTTTTGCTGTGCAGATCCAAGTTATAGTGGGACCATGAAGTTGCACTAGTGACTTATCAACAGTTTGAAGAGTTATAGTGGGACCATGAAGTTGCACTAGTGACTTATCAACAGTTCAAAGAGTTATAGTGGGACCATGAAGTTGCACTAGTGACTTATCAACAGTTCAAATTATGATCGACAAACAACATGTCAAATTAAATTTTCACACAGATAATAAGTTTAACATGGAGTCTTTTGGATTGAGTTTTTTAAAAATCTATGACACCAGGCACTGTCAAGGCCATTCCGTTCATCTGAGAAAAGTGGTGTAGAAACAATGACATCCCAATAAAGAGTCAGAAACTCATAGTATGACCAGCTTGTTTTGCTTGTTCATGTATATCGTAATCTTGATGATTTGACTTCTTCTGCAGTGTTTGCAGTTGATTTAGTTTTACGAATCTTGATGAAAGCTCTTCAGGTGATTTATGTTTGGACACCTTGGCTTTTTTTACAAGAACATCCATCATTCTTCTGACCTGTGCTACAAGATGCTTTGAACGAAAATAAACAAGTGTTACTAATTAATGATAATATTAGAGTTAATTTATTAATTTTTTCAAAACAAAAATAACATACCCAATACAAGAAGTTGCATGCTTTGCTGACATGACTGGTTTGAGAACGTTCCGTCTTGTCCTCGCGATCAGCATCTGACCGATTTTCACCACTTAAGGAACGGAAGACAAAATTAATAACACTAATACTGAAAAAAAAAGTCAAAAATGCATGTTCAAATACTTACTAGAAACATAGTACAAGGGATCTTTGCATCTACAGTATGTTCCAATGGACATTTTCTGGCAAAATGACTAATCCACCCATCACTATTGTCACACAGTATTTTGTTATCTAATTTTTTAAATAATCATTCCATATGGAAATTTGCATCCATGCTTTGCTATTCCAGTAATAATCCACTAGTAATGAAATTTTACTAATTCCATTCAATGGACATACATTTTGGTATTTATGAATAATTAATGGGAATTTAAAGAATATTTAATATGATAACTAGACTATAACATGTAAAGAACTTAGTGTCTCCAATCATCTGCCCATATAAATAGTTACATCATC